ACAATAAAATATAAAATTGAATATATAAAAATTAAAATTGAAGACTTTACAAAAGATATAAATTCTTTGGCAGATTTTACCAAAGTTATAAATTCATTAGAAAATGTACAATCTAATGATGTAGAATTTCAGGAAACAATTACTAACAACAATAGTGCTGAAAAACAGTCACACAAGGAAACCTTATTAACTGACAATGACTTTCAGTTAACAGATGCACAAACGAATCCTTCAATTGTAGAAACAATAAAGAAAGATGAAAGTGAGGTAATGTTACAAAATGTTCAAACAGAAACAGTTGATTCACAATATAATCAGAAGATTAATCTGAATATTGATCATTCTGTTCATTCAAATACAAATAATAAAAATCAAATGTGGACACCTAAACAAGAAGAAAATGAAAATTCTATTACTGTTCAACAGGAATTAGAAATTTCCAATTCAGATCACAATCATGTAGATGAAAGTAAACTACAAGATAGTCAAAAATATGTAAAAGTACTTACAAGTAAGAAAGTCGATTTACAAAAATACGAAAGCAAACATATCGACGATGAATTATAATGAAAGCCTTCAGTTTTTAAGATCAAGTATAAATATTAAAAGGAAATTGAATAGATTTCTAAATGCAACAAGTCTGGCAATCCTATTCACACTGCATTTGATATTTTTGCACTAAACTTGAATGTGTATGCAGTGAGCTTTAATGTTTTATACACATGAAATCTTTTAGAAAAGAATTACTTGTCTAATAAAAAAGAAGTATGAATGACCAGACTATATCAGAACAGTACTTATAGTTAACAATACTTATATACTAATAGGTAAATTATAAGATCTGTATAATACATATAAATAGCCTGTGCAAGACATATATCTTAATGAGGTTGTGAAGAAATATCCTCTTAAGGCTCTAATGAATGTAAATTTTATATATACCACTTAAACATAGTATATTTCTTGTGCACACTACAGTACAATGACAGCATATTTTTCCTGCTCAGGTAAAAAATTACAATTTTACTTTTTTTTCGTGTTCTGTGCTCCAAACATGTGCCATGAATAATAATATGAATGAATACTTCAGCAAATAATAAATATTGTGCTGTTAATTTACAATACAATTTTAACTTCTATTCTAAACAAGCATATAGATAATGATTGTTAGAAAGTAGTTTTAAATTTTAATAATAATATAATATTGTGTATTTTGTTCTATATAATGGTGGTAGATTGATTTCTTTAAAATAGATTTTACATTTTATTAGCAAAGAAAACAAATGCAAAAATTGGTAATATAGTTTTTCAGAAGTCCTTTTTAATAGAAATTTTGCTTTTTGTTTACTTAACAATATGAAAAATATATTGATTTACTTTTAATTGAATATTACTAAAATACACTACATAAATTTTTTACTTTTAAATTTACTATTAATCTATGCCTTATACTGTACATAAAATTGTAAACAATAATGTATATACATATTATATGGTATGTAGCAAAATTAATAACAATGGAAGTGGTAATAGATTAAGTAGTATTCAGTTCTTCAACATCTTAATTTCCTTATAATTATCTATGTATAATAGTTGTTTTTCGCTTAATAACAGATTTACAAACTGTGTTATACATTTTGTAAAATGAATTTTAAGCTAGCAATGCAAGAATTCAGTTTTTTTATGTGCCATATAAAATGCACAAGAAATGCGTATGTTTCAAACCAAATCAGTTTAGGATATTATATATATACATATATATTTTTGGGTTAATCCATTGTAGAATGTGATTTTGACTGTCAATGTAAATATTATATAAATAAGTATATAATAAGTCTGTGTTCTATGATTACCATATAAAAGTTTGTATAATAAATGCCAAAATGGACATTACAGTTTATTGTACATTAAATCAGTTACTATTTTGCATAGATAAATTGTGTGTAAATATATATATCAACATTATACAAATGTGTGTATGGTGTTTGTACATGTGTGTGCATGTGACATACACATAATTTGTTTGTTGTTTACCATATAATGATAAAAGAAATCAAACGTATATGATACGAATGTGTTAAAAGGTTTTGGTACAGAAATAGCGATATTAAAAAGTGCGAATAAAATTACTGTTACGAAGAAAAATTTTTCTTTGAATGAATAAACACTGGAAATGCAATTTTTATGTACATATTTTTTTAAATTAAACCCTTAATTTCTCTCATATCAATGC